ATAAGAACAGTTAGCAAGAAGCCTGCCACGGCCATACAGTTTGTAAGCAATATAAGTCTCTGTGTTTACTTGGTTGGGTCTGAGCAGCTGTGGGACTGGCGGGTGACAAAGATTTGTCCTGACTGTGGGCCAGGCAGGAAAACTCTAGCTACAGTGTTGATTAGATTGATTAAATTTATTTTGCTTGTTTTGTGCATGTATGTATGTGCACCATATATGTACTTGGTGCCTATAGAGGTAAGAGGGCATTGGATCCCCTGGAACAAGAGTTATGGATCATTGTGATCATTGTGAACCACCATGTGAGTGATGGGGATTGAATCCAGGTTCTCTGCAAGAGCAGCAAGTGCTCTTAACCCCTAACCTCTTCAGCTCCTCAGAAGTGCCTTTTAAAAGCAAGCTAGAACAGAAATGTTAAAAGTGGGATCTGAGTAATTTAGGCAAGCAGTGCAATAGCATAAATACTCTTAACTACAGTAATGATCATGTTAGTTGCTTTCCTATTGATGTAATAAAACACCATGACGAAGGCAATTTATAAAGAAAGAGTTTATTTGGGTTTATGCTTCCAGAGAGTTAGAGTCCAGGTGGCAGACATGGTGGCTGGAGCCGAAGCTGATGGCTCACATCATATTTTAAAATTATTTTTTATAGCTGAGCAGTGGTGGCGCACGCCTTTAACCCCAGCACTTGGGAGGCAGAGCCAGGCAGATCTCTGTGAGTTTGTGGCCAGCCTGGTCTACAGAGCAAGATTCAGGATAGGCTCTAAACTACACAGAGAAACCCTGTCTCGAAAAACAAACAAAAAATTTTTTTAATTTAATTTTTTTGTATATGAGTATTTTGCCTGCACTTACGCATGTACACCACATGCTGCCTGGTGTCCTTTGAAATCAGAAAGTGGTGTTGGATTCCCTGGCACGGTAGTTATGGATGTTTGTAAACCATCATGTAATGTTGGGAATTGAACTAAGTCTTCTGCAAGAGCAACAAATGCTCTTGACCAGTGAACCATCTGTAGCCCCAGGGCACACATCTTGAACTATAAGCACAAAGCAGAGCAAAGTGGGAATTGTCTTAGGGTTTCTATTGCTGCAAGGAAACACCAGGACCAAAAAGCAAGTTGGGAGAAAAGGGTTTATTCAGCTTATACTTCCACATTAGTGTTTATCACCAAAGAAAATCAGGACAGGGGCTCAAGCAGGGCAGGAATCTAGAGGCAGGAGCTGATGTAGAGACCATAGAGGGGTGCTGCTTACTGGCTTGCTTCACATGGCTTACTCAGTCTGCTTTCTCACAGAACCCAGGACCACCAGCCCAGGATGGCACCACCCACAATAGGCTGAGCCCTCCCCCATTTGTTGTGGGATAATCTTTTTGTACACTGTGAAAATGTGTCTTTGCCAAGGTGCCTTCTGATTTAAAGAGCCAAATGGCCAATAGCAGGACTTCCAGGCACAGAGAGGACTCTGGGAAGAAGAGAATCAGAGAGGCTACCCGAACACAAAAGGAGTCTCTCACACAGAATGGAACAGAGGTAAAAGCCACATGGTAGAAGATAGATTATAAGAGCTAGTTAGGAACAAGCCTAAGCTATAGGCTGAGCTTTCATAATAAGTCTCTGTATCATTATTTGGCAGCTGGCTGGCGGGACAGAGAAAGACTCATTGTACCCATTGATCACTAAGAAAATGCCTTACAGCTGGATATTATGGAGGGATTTTTCAGTTGAAGGTCCCTCCTCTCTCATGACTCTAGCTTATGTCAAGTTGACATAAAACCAGCCAGTACAGGAATGATGTAAATCTTTGGCCCCATGACATACTTTCTCCAGCAAGTCTACAGCTCCTAAGCTGCCCCAACACCACCTGGGGATCAAGTATTCACTGCCTGAGACTGGAGGGACATTTCATCAAATCACCAAGCAAGCTGGGACTAACTGGCTTTCCTGACCCTGTTTCCTTTCATCAAAAACTCTTCATCCCAGATCTACTGCTCCCATATCCTCCTTGTTGGGAGATATTTGATCACACTGTGAACCCTGAGTGTGTATTTGTGTTGATTAAATAAAATTAACCTTGGGTTGTAGTTGAAGTTTTCCTGGTCCTGCCTGGCCCACTGTCAGGACAAATCTCTCCCACTCCCGTCCCCCAAGTAAACACACAGAGACTTATACTACTTATAAACTGTATGGCCTCCTTGTCCCACCTACACTAACCTTCCTGCCTGGCTACTGGCTGATCAGCATTTTATGTATCAATCAATCATCGCAACATACATTTACAGCATACAGGACATCCCACAACATTGGGTTAGGAGGTTGAGTTAGCAACTAGTTGACAGATAGTAATCAGAGAGCATCAGAGGGCATCTGAGAGAGATAGAGAAACACAGGAAATAATAGGGAGAAATCTGGAGTGGCAAAGCTTTTTCTGGTTTGGCAGAGTGGAAGCACGATCTTTTGGAGCAGCAAGGAGAGAGGGTTAGCTAGTTGCTGCTCAGCCTCTCTGAGTCGGCAGGTTTTCACCCCAGCCTTTGAATCTCGAGTCCTATTTATAAATAGAATGATAGAGATATAGTTAAGGCTACCTTTAGCGGCATCCACAGGGCCAGTGCCTGTGGGAACGGAATTCCTGACAGACCGGTAACTATGGAGTCGCAATTGCCACTGTGCCGAAGTTAAAATAACACCTCCTCACCTCGTACCAGAATCCACAAACACTCTTCCAAATTAGGAGTGGTCTTCTGTCCTCTCCCTCAGCTTATATGCAGTTGATCAGTTCATGTTTTGCATAAATATCCTGGAGATTCTGATCACTTTTCTGCCTCTAGTGTTTAAGACACTAGTCTTAGGTTCCACTTTTTGCCCTCTTTTTTTTTTTTTTTTTTTTTTTTTTTAAAGATTTATTTATTATGTATACAGAAGAGGTTGTGAGCCACCATGTGGTTGCTGGGAATTGAACTCAGGACCTCTGGAAGAGCAGTCAGTGCTCTTAACCTCTGAGCTATCTCTCCAGCCCTCTGCCCTCCTCTTTTTTTTTTTTTTTTTTTTTGAGACACATTTAAATTCTGTTTTCCAAGCTGCCCTCTAACCTCTGGGCTCAAGTGATCCTTCTGCCTCAGCCTCCCAAGTTGTTGAAACTGCGAGATGATACATATGGTCCGTTTTCCTATTCACACTATTTCCAAGCAACCCGTGTGACCACCTGTCACATCAGTGTAGAGGGCTCTCAAGGCTAAAGACAGTGGTTTCTGGCGGGATTGACCTGGCTGAGGTCCCACTCCAGTGCACCAACCAACCCTGGGGATTCCGCGGGAAAAGCAGCCAGGGCCATTCCAGGTGAAACCCGTGCCGCTCGGCCTCCAGGCGCTGGGAGGCGCTGTGGGGAATCAGTCACTTCCTTCCGCCTGCTCTTTCCTTCCGCGCCCGGCGCCAGCACATCCTGTTTTCGTTGGCCGCGCTCTGATGGCGGTCACTGCTGGACCTGTGGCCACTTCGTAGTGCCGGTCCTCACTCGGCAGGCACCGTGAGGGCTCGGTGCCCCCCTCCTTTGTCCTCTTGACAAGCCTGCGCATCGTTCCTCAGGGCGCAGAACTTCTGGCGGCCGGCAGCATGGGCCGGGAGTCTCGGTGAGTCCGCGGGCGACCGGCTTCTTGGGCTCCGAGGGGAGCGGGTGGCGGTGGCGGCGCGGCGGGTGTGGGGTGGCCCCACGGGTGGTCGTGAGGAGCCGGTCACCTCGGCTGCGAGGTTGCGCTGCGGCGCGCAGGGCCGCAGAGACTCCCCTGTGCTCGCAGCAGCCGGGTCGAGCCCCGAACCGAAGGAGCCTTCCGCAGCTCAGCCTCCCGCCCCTCAGCCTCCCGCCGCTCAGCCTCCCGCCGCTCAGCCTCCCGCCGCTCAGCCTCCCGCCGCTCAGCCTCCCGCCGCTCAGCCCTCCGCAGCTCAGCCTCCCGCAGCTCAGCCTCCCGCAGCTCAGCCTCCCGCCGCTCAGCCCTCCGCAGCTCAGCCCGTCCTCTCCCCCCACCCCGAGCCTGCAGCCTCATCACCTCCGTCAGCCCAGCTCCCAGCTCACTCCCTATCGCTTCGCCTTTGCCGTGTTGCTTACGGCCACTCTAGTTTACTTTCGTGCGCGCGTGGTCTTCCTAAGTCCTTTAAAAGCGTGTGGGCAGACGTTTTTACCGCACCTGCAGTATGTGTGCGGCTCACTCTTACTGGGTTGTAGTAAACACTTGTTTCATGGACATTTACTTCGCAGATAGATTCCGCATTACTTTGTTACCTGCTGCTTGTCTTTTTGAAACCGTTCACATGCGCGCCTTATTATAACTATATTTGTAATTATACGGTGTTTTCAAAACTTTAGGATGTTGATAACAGGTTGAAGACCTTGAGTTATTATTATTATCTTGCAACTGTGTAGCCGGTGTGAAAGATACTATGGTTCACTATCTAGCGAGAATGAGAATTTGCATTGCTTTTAATGCTAATAGCACTCACTTTACCGGGTTATAACTTAGCTTCAGCAACATGAGCAATGTGTGAGTGGAGCATCTTGAAAGTTTGTAGATAGAAAAGCCTGTAGTGCCATCCGGATAAAAGGAAAGGGTATACCCCCTTGACTACAGTCAGTTCTTTTGACTGACTATCTTTTAAGTTTCCCGAAGGCATTGTTCTTCATCTGGGTACTTAGACCAGAGATCTGGAAACAATATTTGATTCTTTCTCTCCCAACTGCTCACTTATTTTTATTTTTTTCTGAAACAGGGTTTCTCTGTGTAGCTTTGCGCCTTTCCTGGATCTCGCTCTGTAGACCAGGCTGGCCTCAAACTCACAGAGATCCGCCTGGCTCTGCCTCCTGAGTACTGGGATTAAAGGCGTGCGCCACCACCACTGCCCGGCCCAACTGCTCATCTCTAGTTAGATTCTGCACTATTTACCCGTTCCTGATCTCTGACTTAATTAAGGCCCTTAATGTTCATTGCCCAGACTGTTTCAAATTGTTTCCTTCCTGAATTGCCTTTCTTGATCTTGCTGTTACAGTTATTATATTTGTATTGCTGGAACCAATAGTTTGAAGAGTGACACTTCAGAAATAACGATAAGAACCTGCCATTTTTGGCCTTAGTTTCCATTGGATCCTATTACTTTAAAGATGAAATTCAAACTCCTTAGACCTTTTTTAAGAAGGTCCACTTCACCCATTTTACCGTCACACTCTTCTCTTTATGCTGTGCTTGGCTGATGTTCTTGATTTGTTCAGGGAACAGTGAAAGACTCAGAGGTGAGAAAGAGCAGGATATTTGAAAAACAGCCTCAAAGCTCAGGTTTTTTTTTCTTTTCTTTCTTTTGTTTGTTTTTTCGAGACTTTTGGGGTTTCTCTGTGTAGCTTTGCGCCTTTCCTGGAACTTAATCTGTAGCCCAGGCTGGCCTCGAACTCAGAGATCCGCCTGGCTCTCTGCCTCCCGAGTGCTGGGATTAAAGGCGTGCGCCACCACCGCTCGGCTAAAGCTCAGTTTTTGTCCTTATGGAGCATTCATGAAGGATTGAAGAGAAGTAGAAGGAGGTAGATCCTGAAAAGGCCCAGAAAGTGAATGGATTGTTGATTCCTGTAAATAGCAGCTCTGTGGTGGTGGTGAGGAAGGCTGCTGTGTATTGATCTGAGGGCCTCACACATGCTAAGCGTGGACCACTCAGCCTGCTCCCCCAGCACAGCCTCAGTTCTCTGCCTATTCTAGTCAGATGTGAAGACATCCAGCGCTTCTTTGTGCCCTCACACTTGACATTTAATTCATCCTTAAATGGAGTCAGTGCTAGGCTAGCCTCTTGTTTTTTGTTTTCCTTGCAGATCTTGATATTTCTCAACACTTACACTTGCTCTTCTCACCTAAGCTGTCACTGTCTCTTAACCTGGATGGTTGCTTTAGTTTCTTAATTTTTTTCTGTTTTTCTAGACACAGTTTCTCTGTGTAATCTTGGATGTCCTGGAGCTCGATCTGTCAACCAGGCTGGTCTCAAATTCACTGACATCTGCCTGCCTCTGCCTTCCAAGCGGCACTGGGTTTAAAGGTGTGCATTACCACCACCTGGCTTAAAATTTTTTTTTTAACATTTTTTAATTACTTATGTACATTGATGTTCTGCCTGGATGTATGTCTGTATGAATATGTCAGATCCCCTGGGACTGGAGACAGTTGTAAGCTTACCATGTGGGAACTGGGAATTGAATCCCGGGTCCTTTGTAGGAGTGGCCAGTGCTCTTAACTGCTGAGCCATCTCTCCAGCCCTGGTTGCTTTAGTTTCATATTTTTCCTCCTACTGTTGCCTCCTTTGTTTAATTTGTTCTTTGCTTAGCAACAAAATAATGCTTTCATTTTTACACACACACACACACACACACACACACACACACACACACA